GTTTGAGGTGAACTGTCCCAACCTCACCTGCTGCTCTCTGCCAGTGAGGAAGTTGGTGATCCACTGGCAGGTGGCGGTTAGCACGCTGAGTTGGAGTAGTTTGTTGTGTAGCTGTCCTGGGATGATCGTATTAAAGGCTGAGCTGAAGTCCAAGAACAGAATTCAGAACAAGTTCCTGGGTGTTCAAGCTGTTGAAGAATAAAATGGAGGCCCATGTTCACTGCGTCGTCCACTGACCAGTTTGCCCGGTATGCAAACTGCAGGGGGTCTAGCAGAGGATCTGTGATGTTCTTCAGATGGGAGAGCACCTATGGATTTCATGACTACAGAGGTCAAAGCAACAGGTCTGTAGTCATTCAAACCTGTTGTGGTTGCTTTCTTGGGAACTGGTATAATGGTGCAGCGTTTGAAGCAGGAAAGTATGATATATACACTGATAATTTAGAGACGAATGGACTTATTTCCAGCTGGTTTCCTGATACGTTTTATCTGCAATGGGAAACTGTCAAATACTAAAAAGTCACAGAGCTGAAGTTTCTCATTCACCAGCTTCTAATTCAAATTTTCACGTTCCACCTTAAATGGTGCAGCAGTGACATCCTGACTCCTCAGGCACAATTTAAGGTGGAACGTGAAAATTCGTACAAGAAGCTGGTGAATGAGAAGCGACTTCAGCCTCATAAAAAGACGAACGTTGAGAGACGTTTTACAAGAAACTTTTCCACTTTGCGGAAAAGTTTCCTGCCAGAGATGCGAGAAATGCAGCTACAGCTGAGCTAAAGCTTAAAGCAGAGCATTTACTTTGTAACGTTACTTCGATAAAATGGACATGAAATGCTGTGGCTTCCATAGTGGTTTGATTTTTGTTGAAACAGGACAAAATGGCTCTTCTTAACATTTGGGTTGCTGACCCCTGACCCAGAGATAGCACATGAAACAAGAAAAGCCGTGGTCCTATAAGGGAAATATAAAATGGAATATAAAAACGTTTAAATTAATGACTTTCCAACACAATAAAAAACTGGCTGTTTGTCATTTAAACCATTCTAAGCTGTGTCTGACAGGCCTACTCTACTCTCAGGTTGGTGGTTTAGGATCTCAAGAGCAAATGGAACCTTGTGGAACCCCAATTGTAACATTACAATGTCGTGCAGCGTCCAAATATTTAAAACGATTGTTTTTAAGGGAGGTATATGTGTTCAATTTCTCAGCACATCAGAGCGCGCCACGTAGCATTTTACCATTACTACATTAAATTAAAGCCATACTGAGACCACAGAGAGCCACGGTAGATCACATGTGGCTTGAAATCTACACAGAGGAAGGCAGCCAGTCTTCTAGATATACAGACAGATGCTAATGGTCTTTCACCTCAGCTAACGTTGCTAGCCTAGCCTTTTCCAGCTTGAATCTTACAGCTCAAAAACAGCCAGTCTGTGTAGACGTAGTAAACAGATGCCAAGTGCATTAAGTGTTGCTGAACACTTCATTTCACTCAATCTGTTTGATTAGAGTGTAAAAATGCACTTGAACCTGGCTTTTATCGTCTTTCCCTGCTGGTTTTCTATAATAACGCACTGCTACATGATGCTATGCTGCACGACACAGCATGCCAGGTGAGCGGTGGCCTTCATAAACTGCCTGTTTGTCAAATGTGATTTAAACCACTCTAGAACTGTACCTGAAAGGTCTACAGGACACCAAGCAAGTCTTGGCTAAACAATTACATTTTGGGGTGAAGGGCGAACCTAAAAACACTTGATTGTTGGCCAACATGTAGCACAGAAATGTAGGACTTGTGATTAGTGTATTCAAGTCTAATAGACTGTGAATATGATGGTTGTTTGTGGGGAGATGCAGCTTGAAAAGACGCCACTACCAGGAATATACAGCCAGAAAGAAACACAGTGATCCTAAAACGGAACCCTATGGAACTCCAAATGAAACACTACAGTTTTCACATTTTTAGAAACTGCCTGTTCGTCAAATATGATTTAAATCATTCCAAAGCTGTGCGTGAGTGGTCGACCCAGTTTTCAAGTCGACGGACCAGGATCTTGTGATGAGCGATGCTGAATGCTGATCCAGGACACGAAACATGTCTTTTCTGATCAACTACATACTGTGTTAAAGGGCAGCAAGGGAGATCATTTTGATTATAAGTCAGATTGTTGGCTGGACTATTGCTTTAACCCACCAGTATAAATTTGACATGTAGGACTGGAGTTCAGGGTATTCAAATCTAATAGACTCCAAACGGTTTGATGGCTGTGGGTGGGGAAATGCAGCTCCGAAAGCAGCTACAACCTCAGCTTGGAGTATAAAAATAAACTTGAACCTGGCTTTTATCGGCTCTCCCTGCCGGAATTCTGTAACAGTGCTACGATGCGCAAAGAGGTGCATCTGGTGTGCGGAGGCCTTCAGAAACTGCCTGTTTGTCAAATGTGATTTAAACCCATCTAGAACTGTACCTGAAAGGTCTACAGTTTTCAAGTTGATAAATCAGGATCTTCTAATCAACTGTATTGACTGCTGTACAAAAATCCAGGACACCAAACCAGTCTTGGCTGATCAATTAAATTTTGGGGTAAACGGTGAACCTAAAACATTTGATTGTTGGCCAACATACTGCATAAAATTGTAGGACTTGTGATTCGCGTATTCAAATCAAACAGACTGAAAATGTGATGGTTATTGGTGGTGAAATGTAGCTTGAAAAGACACCACAACCACCAAGCAGTTGAGCTAATAGAAATTAACGTTGTGGGAATGTACAGCTAGAAAGAAAAGTAGTGATCCTAAAACAGAACCCTGTGGAACTCCGTATGAAACATTACAGTTTTTAGATTTTTAGAAACTGCCTGTTTGTCAAATATGACTTAAACCATTCTACAACTGTACCTGAAAGGTCTACAGTTTTCAAGTTCATAAATCAAGGTCTTGTGATTAACTGTATCAATGCTACACGAAAAGGACACCAAACAAGTGTTTACTCATCAATTACATTTTGGGGTAAACGGTGAACCTGAAAACACTTTGACTGTTGGCCAACATACTGCACAGAAATGTAGAACTTGTGATTAGTGTATTCAAATCTAATAGACTGCAAAGGTGATGGTTGTTGGTGGGAAGATGCAGCTTGAAAAGACGCCACAACCAGAAACATACAGCCAGAAAGAAAAGCAGTGATCCTAAAATGGAACCTTGTGGAACTCCAAATAAAACATTACCGTTTTTGGATGCCTGTTTGTCAAGTATGATTTGAACCACTCTAAAGCTGTGCATGAGAGGTCGACACACTTTTCAAGTTGATAACCCAGGATCTTGTGATGAGTTGATCCAGGACATGAAACATGTCTTTTCTGCTGAACTACATGCTGCAGTAAAGGGCAGCAAGGGACATAATTTTCATTATAAGTTTAACTGTTGGCTGAACTTTTGCTTTAACCCACCAGCATAAATTTGACATGTAGGACTTGAGATCAGGGTATTCAAATCGAATAGACGGTGAGTGGTTTGATGGTTGTGGGTGGGGAAATGCAGCTCCGGAAGCAGCTACAACCCCAAGCAGGCCCTCAAGCAGTTCAGAAACGTACAGCTAGAAAGAAAAGCAGTGGTCCTAAAATAGAACCCTGTGGAACTCCAAAGGAAACATTGCATTTTTTATATTCGGCAGCTGTGCATGAAAAGTCGGCCCAGTTTTCAGGCTGATGGATAACAATATCATGATGAACTGCATCGAATGCTGGGAGATGTATTGCATAGACATGTGGGACTTGTGATCAGGGTATTTGAGTCTAATTGACTGCGAATGGTTTGAGGGTTGTGGGTGGGAAAACGCAGCTCCGAAAGCAGCTACAACCCCAAGCAGGCCCTCAAGCAGTTTGGCTAATAGAAATGAACCGTGACGCAGGAATGTACAGCTGGTAATTAAGCAGTTATGGAAGCTGACTGGGAGCAGATTTGGGTAAAAAATGATTTCAGACATATTTCTGGCCATTTTGAGCCGCTAATACATTCTCCTCCGAAACGTTCTGTCGTCTTATGCAACGGGAAGTCGCTGTTTAAACTACTCCACTGACACACACACAGCTTTCATTCTTTTCTGGGACGAGTGTGTGTGTCCCAAAGCAGACAGCTTCATTTCCTTTCAACACAAAGATTTCCTCCTCTCATCTTTTATTTATTTCTCCATTTCTCTCTTTCGCTCAGGACAGAATTGGCCATCCCTCTATCATACTGCTGTTGCTTTTTTTTCCCCATCTCTCTCTCTTTCATTCTCCATCTGTCTTTCTCTGTCACACCCACACACTTTTTTTCCCCACACAAACAGAATCCATACAGAATGTGTTAAAAACAGCGCATAATGTGTTATATTTTAACACATCTGTATTCAGGCGGAGTTTTACTGGCTTTTCAAAATAGATGGTCAAGCTGTGAACAAAGTTATTCAGAGTGGTTTGGTGTGAAACGCTCTGTTCTAGAGAAACTTACAGAGAACTGTTCACAGTGGTGGTGATAGGAACCAGACGTCCACCTCTAAAAGCTCCCTCACAGAAAGTTACTACATGAAATGGTTATGAATTCACTGCCTGATGTCTGAGACACTGTTTATGATAGTTTTAAGAGGATTTTGATCCTGACATCCATTCATGGTGGAGGGATACATAATATGCAGGGCGCTGTGAGGCAAAATAGTCCCCAAAGAAAACTTATTATTTTAGATGTTCCATTATACCATCATCTACATTCCATATAAACTCAGAAGACTCGTGTAGGTTCTCTGGTGGTTCTGGATAGTAAATAAAATGTCTATATCTGTGTTGTAGTCATGGCGACCCCTGGTTCCTATCACCACTACTGTAAAGACATCTGAACCATTTCACACCAAACCACTCTGAATCACTCTAATTACATCGCAAAAACTGAATCATACAGAAATATTGAAAATCTATAGAATTTTCTTTTAATACATCATTTTTAAGGGGGGATTTACTGACCTGGTCTCCAGTGGTATGTTACTGTTTAGACCCCAGGTGTTTTCTGACTGGCAGCCGTCGTCCTGCACTGTTTTGGTCGGGTCACTCTGGTGTCCGCGGGCCGGCAGCGTGTTTCTCTGGATCAGCTCCGGGGCGGTGGACGGTGCTGGACGCACGCAGGTACAGGCGTGGGGTGGAGGGGGAGGAGGGGGTAACGGCCTGAAGGAGAAACGAGCAACAGGGACTGGAGGGAAGATCTAGAGAGAGAGAGAGAGAGAGAGAGAGAGAGAGAGAGAGAGAGAGTGAGAGAGAGAGAGAGAGAGCGCATATTTATATTACCATATAAACTGAGTCTGTTCTACAGTTTCTCATTAGGATGAATGAATAACCGACTCTAAATGTAGGTATTGTGATATAAACTGAGTCTGTTCTACAGTTTCTCATTAGGCTGAATGAATAACCGACTCTAAATGTAGGTATTGCGATATAAACTGAGTCTGTTCTACAGTTTCTCATTAGGCTGAATGAATAACCGACTCTAAATGTAGGTATTGTGATATAAATTCTCATTAAGTCAATATGATTTTTCCCAGCATCCTGTAAAACCCAACAACACTGTATGCAAATGTATGTGAGTGAGCTCTGTTTCGTATTTTGCCTCATTCAAAAAGCAACACAGACTAAAAACTTCTTATACCTTCAGCATGAATGGGCGGGGCTAAACTGCTGCAGGCTAAACTGATGGATATATGTGCTGGATTTTACGACATCATAGAAAAAAGCTAATTAAAAATAGCTTTGTTGCCATAAATGGGCTGCAAATACTGCAATATTTAATCCAAAAGGCCTTTTTCTGTTTTTCCACATCCACAATGCCTATTTTCTTTCCCTAATTGTCCTTCTTTCATTCCCTTCTTCTCTCACTTTCTTCCAAACCTGTAGCCCAGCTCTCTTCATGAAATTAGCCTAGCAAAGTTCCACTGTTAGCGCGCTACAGACTACGCAGAGACTATTAGCCGTCTAATCCACTCACTTTAACTCCTTTTCAAAACTATTTCACACTTTCTAATGTAATAAGTGTTAAAAAAGAGGAGGTTGACCGCACGAGAGAGAGTCAGCAGAGGTCAGAGAGGTTTTAAAAGCAGAACCAAGCCGCTCATTAAGAAGTCTGAAACAGATTCATGCTAACACCGGAGAGCAGCGAGCGCCCGACTGAAACACTTTCTACATTTCCTCCGCGGAGCTGGAATTGAATTAGATTGATTCAAATTGTTTTGGAGATTAAATTTACTCGTCTTTTGGTCTATAGTAATGTATTAGGCTTTAGCCGTTACCAGTGGGCTGCGCGATCAGACGTCTGACGCTAATGCAATCAAACGTCCATCATAAATTGATCCGTAGCCGGACACACACTCTTTCAGCGCAGCACACACTCTTTCAGCACCGAGGGGAAGGACGGATCATTAGCCCAAGAGCGTTCATCTTACACGATTACAGAAGCCAACAGGAAACGATCGCAGAGAGAGAGAAGAAAAGAAGGAAAAACAAAAACTCGATTTAATTTGGTTACAGAGCAATCAGGAAAGAGACGCAGTATGAAAAAGAGACTGAAGCACTATTAGAAGATTAGGGCAGCACTTTACAGATGTGTAATGAAACGGTAATATGATGGTTACAAACTATCTAAAAATATTATGCTCATTTTCTAGGAGTTAAATAAGTAATTGTAGAAATACTTCTTCCTAATTTTAGCCCAAATCTGTTATGTGAGCAAATTTTACTGTAAAATTAACTGTAGAAATAACATCAGACCAAGTTTTGACATCAACCCCTTAAAATCGCAGGTTTATGTTGATCCTCCCAACCAATCAGAACGCTGTTTGAATACTTGTCCTACTTCTTTTAGTTACTAACACTAATCAACATGGTTACCGTGACCCCGACTGAACATAACTTTACCTCCATCCTCCGATATCTTGCACAGATTTGAAGTCCCAGAATTAAAAACTCTGCCAGAAAATAAAAGCTTAAAAAAAGAGGGGAAAAAGTCTGCAGCCTTGGCTACGTCACTGTTAATCATCCTGCGGTCTGAAAATCTACATTTTTCTAGCTTTTCACTAAATTATAGTTTGGGTTTTCCTTTTTTAAAAATGTGACTTCTGTCAATGATCATCAATTCACAAGTTGTTAGGATCATTGAGGAAATCTGAATATTTGCAATGAAGCTAACAGCCCTAAAGTGTTTACAATGGCACTTATTCATCAAAATGAAATGAGCAAAGTTAATAAATTTCAAAGTCTTTGAAAATAATAACAAACAAAATAGAAAATAACAATGAAAAACACTAAAATTGTGTAAAGGGCAATCCCTGCACAAAAATACTAAAGCAAATGTACTTATTTTTACTTACACACTGATTTACATGCAGCTATGACTATTTGTTCCACTTTACCCCTTGAAATTCCACCTTTATTACACACTGAGGCTTATTATTCAGTAACTACAGGGACGTCAGTGCAAACTGGCTGAGCTATTCTTAAATCATAGGTGTGTGTAATAACACTCCGGGTCTGACTGTGGGCCCTGGCCATTTGAGGGGTTAAAAAACAGTAAATACAGACCAAACTGACTGACCCAAAGTACTGATAATAACAGTAAAATCTTGTCACGTTTGATTCTGTAACGTCCACCCTACTCAAGAACATTGTGTATTTACATTTTTCCTATTTTCCAGTTTTCAAAAGCAGGCAGAGCTGCTCTAATTCCAGAGAGGAATCATCTGTCTTCAGACTAAACATTGTTAGGATGGGATTAATGGTGGCACTTTACATTGCAGATCATTAACAAGTCAGTTATAAAATGGAAAATAACGGTGACGTTGTTCTAACCCAGGAGTTGCAACCCAAATGTTAAGAAGAGCCATTTTACCCTTTCAGCAAAAATAAAAGCACCTTTGGGAGCCACAACATTTTAATGTCCATTTTATCATCTTGGCTGTAAATCTGTCTCAGTATGTGCTGATGTGCTAGCATAGGATAAAAAATTTAATATATACACGAAAAGGCAGCCTTACTTTGCTCTGCTTTAAGCTTTAGCTCAGCTATAGTCGCTTTTCTCACATCTCCAGCAGGAAACTTTTCCTCAAAAGTTGAACAGTTTCTTATAAAATTCGACTCATTCGATTTTTTAAGAGGCTGAAGTCGCTTCTCATTCACCAGCTTCTGGTTCAAATTTTCCTGTTCTACCTTAAAAGGTGCCTGAGGCACCAGAACGTAACTGCTACACCATTTAAGGTGGAATAGGACAATCTGAACAAGAAGCTGGTGAATGAGAAACTTCAGCTTTTCGCGACTTTTTAGTGTTTGTCAGTTTCTCGTTGCAGATTAAACGTATCAGGAAACCAGCTGGAGTGATTATAAACGCAAATAAGTCCATTCGTCTCCAAATTATCGACGTTCGTCCTAAATCTCTCTCTTTGCCGTTTTGTAGCTACTAGCCAGGTGAGATTGTTGTCTGTGTTACTATGGTGTCTGCGCTGATCTTCAGGGTTAAAGGGTGAATTAGCAGTTCTACATTAACTCCAGCGTTTAAGACCATTTACTGTTAAACTGTGTTGAACGATCAGCAGAGCTTTATTTTACTGTAAAGGAGGATTATTTTATTATTACCTACAAATCAGATTCTGCTGTGGAGCGGAACAGTAAAAGAGCTGCATGTTGCCGACCCCTGGCCTAACCATTATTACCATTATTTAACTTAGAAAAGTAACCTAGTTAAGTTCCATTTTTGAGTTCATTGAACAAACAAGTTAACAAATGTAAAACACACACTTTTCTTCTGTTACTTTACATTAGAATGAAATTTTAAGACTAGGTGCCTCTTTACAGCACTAATGCAACATCACTTCAGTAGAACTACTTTGTTTTGTGGGTGATAACATTAATATTAAAAAAAAGCCTATAAATATGCAAAAGAATTGAGGTGATATACTGATTCAGCAGATGTTGTCAGAGCTGGACGCTTCATCCTTATTAATGGAATAAAAAACAAACCAAACCAACTAAAAACAAAAGTGTGCCGTTACACAACACCCACAAAAAGTGAATGCTTTGAATGAAATGATCACAAAAACTCCCCAAAGTAAAACAAGTGAGATTCTAAATTCATCTAAAAAGAGAAAATGTGGCTCCTAACAACCACCTGGAAGACCTGGTCGACCCCAAAACTGCCCCCATCAGATAAACAGCACTTAAAGCTTTCATCTCTGAGAGAGAGGAGAAAATCAAGCTGCTTCAGATCTGAAAACATCCACAGGTGTTTCTGTCCATCCTTCCACTGTGAGAAGACGACTCAGCGCTGTGGGTCTGAAAGGATGTGTAGCTGATCAAGAAGAACCTCACTGAGAAAAGGAGACGGACACATCAAACAAAGAAGCTGAACGATGGACTGACCACCCCAGAGTCCAGACCTCAACACCACTGAACATGTTTGATTACTTCAGAAAATGATCAACCAGCTTCTAAGACTGAACTTTGGAGGTGAGTCTGCAGATTCTTTGAGGAACTGAAAGTGAGTCTCCTGAAAAGAATGGAAGCTGGAATGAAGGTAAAGAGTGACTCACTGACTCACACAGTTAAGATTAGATTTGGATGCTGACATTTTTATGCAACTTCTCCTTTTTGTCTCACATTGAAAAATGAATAACTTTTACTTAACGGCTGTTTTGGCTGGAAATAAATGAAGAACGATGGTCTTTGACTTTTGCACAGCTCTGTATACAGAACCTTACTTTTACTGGCTGCACAAATGTCTCAGGTGTTGTTGATAATTGCCGTTTTGCGGAGGCGGCAAACACACCACAAGAAGCCCGAAAAACATGGCTTGCATCATACACACACACGTACGCAACAGTAAATATGAGCCAAGCCACAAACACACACACACGGATGGTGAAGGACCATTAACCCTGGCTGGTCTCCATGGCAACAGCGACTGGCCCACATAATCCACTGCGTACACCTTTGACTGTTGCAGCGAGGCAGGAGAGTGTGACACACACACACACACACACACACACACACAAACACACACACACACACACACAAACACACACACACATATACACACAGTGTTGCTCTGCAGAGCGTTCAGCTTTGTGTATGTTTCACCAGTCGTTCACACATCATTTACTGGCAAATGCCTCAAAACGCAGAGGGCAGCTGTGTGTACGAATGTGCCCACAATACGCGACTAAAG